CCTCAGCAGCGCTAAGGATGTCTGACTGCAGCTTAGGCCTGCTCCCTGCTGGCAAGTGGACATCCCCTGAGGACTCCCGGGCTGCTAGAGGGATGCCTAACTGCCAGCTTAGGCCCGATCCCCTGGGGAACAGTCCTAAGCCAGCAGGTGGACATCTCCCGAAGGGTCCCAGGCTGCGAGAGGGCACAGGACAGGCTGAGGGACCCCCCGAGTGCACAGATTTTTGTGCACCGGACCTCTAGTATTGTAATAACTATGCATGGTGCCAGGTGAATATTTGAAATATTGAGGGGGGATCACTTTGTAAAGTATATTGTCTAACCACTATGCTATACACCTGAAATTAATACAAAATAATATTGAATGTAAACTGCCATTGAAAATAAAACTTAAACTGTAAAAAGGAGCAAAAATAATAAAATAAAATAAATAGAGGCTAAGATAAATTAAAAGGCTAGCTCCAAGTCACTTGAGAAGTGAAGTACCAATGTTTTCCACAATATTAAGTTGCTATTGAAAATGGTGTTTTGAGAAAATGCACCACAGCAAAAACCATTATCCATTTTGATACATGTCAAGGGGCTCTGAAATAATTCTACATTGCTTACATTCTGTCAATTACAAAATTTTCTAATCTCTTCTATCCCTTTCCTCTAATGTGCTTTCTTGTACACAACACTAGATTTTTAAGGGAAAAGACTTCTTTTTAAGTAATTTGACAATGGGAATATTAATGTATCCTTAAATTATTTTTACACATATTAAATCAGCTTCTAAGAGACATCTAAAAAATAACTACCTTTCTGAATTCACCACTATTGCTTCAAAACATTCTGGACAAAAGTTTTACATTCTCAAAAATATACTCTTAACTTGAGAGCAGAATCTATAATTGCATGTGTTGAGAATAGGAAATATCCTACATATTAGGGTATGGTACATTGAATCTCTACTGAGACCTACTTTGGATATCTATAATAATAAAAGCATAATATGCTAATTAGACCGGATAGCCCAATGACCTTCCAGACGTCATTCTGGACGTCCTTCTGGGTGAAGCCGCAGTGGTGGGGGCCAAGGCAGAGTGGTTAGGGGCAATCAGGCAGGCAAGCAGAGTGGTTAGGGGTAATCAGGCAGGCAGGCAAGTGGTTAGGGGGATCAGGCAGGCAGGCAGGGTGGTTAGGGGCAATCAGGCAGGCAGGCAACTGGTTAGGGAGGATCAGGCAGGCAGGCAGAGTGGTTAGGGCAATCAGGCAGGCAAGCAGTTACAGATTGTGAGAGGGTGCAGGCCGGGCTGAGGGACCCCACCTGCCCTGCCCCCTGTGCACAAATTTCTTGCACTGGGCCTGTAATAGAATAATATATCTATAGCCCTAGGTTTTGAAAAGGAATCTCTGGTTTCCACATATACACGTATTATAAAGCACAATTGGTGACATTAGATTACTGAAAATTTCAACTACATTTACCTTCAGAGAGAATAAGTGCACAGACAACATTTTTTATTTTGAAGAGCAGTCCTGAGGCTGACTAGGATCTTACCACAAGCACCTGCCTCTCACCCCAGGGTAAATAACTTAGAGGGGGTGTAATTATCTTTGCTGTTACTATTAGTAATTGAAACATGAAGGGGGTCTTTTTTTTAAGGTATTTCCATTGAATATATGCTCAATATTGGATTATATATTTTTTAAATTAAATCTTTATTGTTCAGATTATTACAGTTCTTCCTGTTTTTTCCCCCCATAACTCCCCTCCACCCAGTTCCCACCTCACCTTCTGCATTTACCCCCCCCCCCCCCGCCACTGTCCTCAATATTGGATTATATTAAAGGTCTAATATAGTAACTGAAAACTTTGGGTTTTGAGATGAGCACTACTTTGGGTGACATAAAAACAGACATTTTAATTTTGAAATTAAATACTAATCAGCCATCAACTGTGTGCCAGATAAGAAGCTAAGCACTGGAGACATGGAAAGGTAAGACCTACTCCTTTCCTTTAAAGAACCTACTAAGTTGGAGAGAAGAAAAGACATACATAATGTGAATAAAAGCATAGCACTATAGGGCTGTTTATGTGCCAGAGGGATTCATAATGATTTTCATGAGAGTTCAGATGGAGAGAACAGGAGAATGCTTTATTGAAATTTTTAGTTGTGGAAATGAATAAATAATTCTTACAAGAGAACTGTCATCCTCTCATTGATATCCTATCAATAGTTTGGTCTTTTTTTATATTTTAATTTAATTTTATTTTTAAATAAATCTTTATTGTTCAGATTATTACAGTTGTTCCCCTCCCCCCCCATAGCTCCCCTCCCCCCAGTTCCCACCCCACCCTCTGCCTTTACCCCTCCCACTGTCCTCATCCATAGGTATACGATTTTTGTCCAGTCTCTTCCTGCTCCCCCATACCCCTTTCCCCCCAAGAATTGTCAGCAC